GTCTTAATTGTACTTCTCTTAAATGCTCCTGGGCTCTTCTAGTTTTGCTTTATTGGCTCATTTGTTTATGAACTTCTTATTTCCTACAAATTTGATCAAAGAGATATTTTAGTGATTATTTCTGCATGAAAATTTAGATGAATAGAGGTATAAAAATGCAATAAAATGTACCAAATTAACAAAGACCCAATTCCTAACACCATCTAACTTAATTATTATAGGACTCGTTACACAAAAGTCTAAGTCATTTTCTAATCCTTCAACTTCTATAAATCAGACCTCTTACCCTCAACTAAGAGCATCACACACACAATTCATTTCTCCAGTAGCATTTCTAAACCGCCGGCTCTAGCGATGGCCCCTACGTCCTCTAGCAAAGAGCCATCATGGGCCGAGCTCCTTGGATCCAACCACTGGGCTAACCTACTGAACCCAATGGACCACTACCTCGGGTCCTGGCTCAGCCGTTGGGGCAAAATGGCTCAAGTCACCTACGACGCCTTCAACAAAAACAACTCCATCTTCTTCGCCTCTTGCCGCTACACCAAGGAAGAGCTCCTCAAAAAAACTGACTTCCCCTATGATTCCGATTACAAAGTGACGGACTTGCTGTACGCAAGCGTCACAACAAACCTCAACAAACCGATATTTCCCATCCCAATCCTTCCAATACCACCAAGCATAGCCCGTGTCACCGGCTCCAACTTCCAAGGCTACGTCGCGGTCTCCTCCGATAAATACGCGAAGGAAACTGGACGGAGAGAGATTTGCGTAGCTTGGCGTGGGACCGAGACGATGACCGAGTGGATCAATAATCTCAACTTTTCGCAGACGCCTGTGAACCCGTTGCAGAGCCCGCCGCCTGAACTGCCGCAGGTTATGAGTTATTCGTGGGTATCCTTGGCGGGAGTTGCTGAAGACGATCAGCGGAGAGCCCAAGGTTTGGTGGAAAATTGAATTAAAGAAATGTTTGAGTTTTCTTCTCGCATTGGTTTTTTAATGCAGAGGTTTCTTTTTCGCCGCATCTATTTGTTTTAAGCTTCACAATAAATCATGTTTGATGTAGTTGCATCTATTGTTTGGTCATGGCCAATTTATTATAAAAACAAGCTTGTAGAAGGAGAAACAAAGTGGAGAGACTTGAGATTCAAAGTAAGCTCAAGCACCTACTAACCTAACCCCTGGGGTGTTTTTTTCGCGGAAAAATTTGCAAAATAGACCTCTTTTTGGCCAACAGGTCAAAAAGGGGTCGATTTTGCAAAACAGACCATTCGAAACATACGAGACTAGTAGTTCTGTATGATTTAATGTTGAATTAAATCATACGGGACTACTAATCCCGTATGTTTCGAATGGTCTGTTTTGCAAAATCGACTCATTTTTAGCCTGTTGGCCAAAAAGAGGTCTATTTTGCTAAATATTTAGCAAAATAGTCTGTTTTGCTAAATATTTAGCAAAAGAGGTCTATTTTGCAAATTTCTTCTTTTTTTCACTAGTTCACTGTCGTAACTAATTAATTAGATGTCTTCGATATTTACCAGTCTCTACAAAACAACAATTATTATTCTACGGCAGTGACGTGTGACTAGTGACACTTTAAAAAAAAATTGTTATTCTGTGACAGTGATATGCCACGACTAACGACACTTAAATATATAGCAGCTAATTCGATTTTGGACAAATTTTAAAAAACGACCCTTTTTCAAATTTATTAGGCAAAATCGACCCTCTGGAAAATTAATGGGCAAAACCGACCCTTTTCTAGAAAAGGGTCGGTTTTGCAATTTGGCTTGACTGTGAACTGCACGGGACTAGTAGTCCCGTGCAGTCTACTTAATTTCCCAAGGTCACGCCTTCTCCAAATCGATCTCTCTTCAAAAAAAAAAAAAATCAATTTCACAAAAGAAAAC